GGCAGGCACAACTGACCGCGTGACGGACCGCGCCAGACCCAACCGAACCGCGCTAAACTGATACTAGTTCATCAGTAGGGCTCGATGCGGTTCAGTTCTGGCTCGGTTCTCATGAGCAGCCTCTGTAATCGGGAAATTTCAGACATTCCTAAAAATCCTAGCTTCCCTACGATGAACCTCAATGTCTGTTGTTGTTTCCTGCATCTGGAAGCCCTGATTAGACTATTGTTTGTTGTATCCACTTCCCAAAAGCTGACTCTGTCGAGTAAATTCACCAAAGGCTGCCTTCTTCGCCTGACTCTCTGTAAGCTACGAAATATCACAATGATACTAAAATAAAATTTCCTGAAAGTTATGGGCGCCGCCATGTTAGTTTGTTTGTTTCCCTCTGGAGCAGTAGTACCGTAGATCGCCACTAGGAGGCGAGGAACCGTGCTGACGTTGTGTGTAAATGGTTGTAAGGAACCAAGCTCGGCAAGGTTAAATGATCCAACCTCGGCACGGATCGGTTTTCAGAGGGTGCTGGAAATGGGGCTTATGACGCTATTGGCTTTGTTCAAAATGTGAATAGTCCCACACATTCTCATCTTCATACTTTGGTTCTTGTGCTGACATATGTCATAGAATGTGATAGAGATGAACCCAAAATAAAGGAAAACCAAACCTTTCCGTTCACAGTCTTGTATCCGTCCTCCACAGGCTGCAAGACGTAGCTGTCAAAGTGAGAGTCTGAGTAGCTGCTGGCGGCCAAACTTCCACAACACGGAACCAGAACCTGCAGGGTTTCCATGTGGGACAGAGAAAGGGTTCGATTAACTGGTCAGAGGAAGCTCTCCACATACGTGAACTATGACCATCACTGTAAGCTACCATCACAACTGGAGGCGTTTATCTCATGTGAAGCACTTTAAGATGATTGTTCTATAAAATACATTAACTCTGAGCTGAAACAGCATAGTTTTACTTTGCTGGGGAGGCGGACTGACATTAAAGACTATTTTACTAAACAGGGAAACAAGGAGCAAAGAAAGTTTGATTCATCTCATTCATTTATTAGTCGTACAGTGTGAGTTCACAGCTCACAATCTATGTGCAGCATGGCGCTCTGATGCCATCTACCTGCTCACACTGTACGTCTAAAAACCAGCGCCGCAGTGAGATGGCGCTACTCTGACTCGTCTATCCAGAAGCCAAACTAGTAGCAGAGGAATATGAAGCCTACTAGAGTGAAACGCGCTGCCTTGGTAATTTGGGCAATTTTATGCTGAAAGCCCTAAAAAGAAAAGGAGACGACGTATTTGGACAAAGACATGGCTGAGCAAACGTAGCTACTACAGTCTGTCAATTTGACAAAAAGAACTCCATTTCACTCATTGCACCCCCGCCATGCTTCTGGGTTTTCCTCTAAGAAAAGGAAGAGGAATCCTTGTTTGGCCAGTGAGTGATTTTCTCTCGACCTGCTTCCTCCCCTGATGGAGAGGTGGTCGTTAGAGGCTGATCGCCCCTCGTTACCCCCCCGTACACTACACCACGCATCATCAGGCTGAAAGTCGGCCCGATCGAAAGACTGTCCATGACTGGAAAATCGTCCCGAAAATCGCACAGTGTACGCCTGGCCTAATACGGACACAGAACATTGGCAAGCAAACGTGACTCACGATGCCGTGGAAGTCTGCCACATTCCTGCAGAGGTCAGGTCTCTGCTTCTCCAAGGCCAGGTAGAACGGATTCTTCAGGATGTTCTCATCATAAACAGCCATAAGGAGCTGATGGTCCTGGACCTGCAGGAGGAATCAGACACACAGAAGGCAGATTAAGAAGACTGGAAGAAGCTCCCAGTTCAGCGTTTGTAGACAAAGCAGCCGTCTTTAGGTACGTCACAGAATGCTGCAGGAGATCACATGATCAACGGTTCATATCAGAGCAGTGATTCTCCTCTAAGTCTCCTTACAAACCAAGCTTGGTTTTGTAGCAGTAGAGGACAAAAGGGTTTCATTCCAGGCTCTGCACCAAAACCAGCCAGTCTATCCAGCACATGTTGAAGCACGGTACCAGCTGATCACCTCAGGCTGGGTCACAGGCAGAAACAGAGCCCTCCTCTGGGTGAAGCACAGAGACGATCCAAGGCCAGCTGAGGGACAAGCGTGTCCCGCTTTGTCCACTGAGCCTCCTTTAGGTGGAAGACCTTCAGAGAGAGACGTTCAGGGACCAGATGGTCTGAGAGCATCTCTGGTTTTCAGATGGAAACCAACAGGAAGGCTCATCAGCAGGAACTGTGGGCGCCGCTCCGTTCCAGCAGGTCAAAGGTTACTGAACATCAAACAACCGACCAGCTGCTCCTTCACAGCCACACAGAAAGACTTCTTTCTACCTGCGTCCCATCGGGCCTGGACTGATGAGCGTCTTTAATCCTGATAAACCCATTATTAATTCATGATCAAATCTGAATTATCTGATAACTGACAATAAAGATTCTAAACATTTGATAAAACATCAACTAAGAGCAGCAAAAAAAACACTGGAGGTCTGTAGACCTGCTTCATCTCGAGTTGCTGGAAGTCTGTAGACCTGCTTCATCTAGAGCCGTTGGAGGTCTGTAGACCTGCTTCATCTAGAGCCGGTGGAGGTCTGTAGACCTGCTTCATCTAGAGCCGGTGGAGGTCTGTAGACCTGCTTCACCTAGAGCCGCTGGAGGTCTGTAGATTTGTTCTATCTATATCTCAAGTAGAGCTTTTCTGAACATAAAAGCGTTTCTCTTAAATGACTTCATTTAAAGCTACAGTGTGTAATTTTTAGCGACATCTAACGTCCAGACTGCAGACTGCAGCAACATGAACATCTCCCCCCCAACAGTACGGCGAGCGTTACGGGACAAAATGTCTTCCACGACGTCCGCATCACCTACCTTCTCAAGTGATGAGGTTTGTTTACATAGATAATTTTATAGATAGTATTTCATTAGTCTGTGTAGGGTATAGA